CCAGCTTCTGGTGCTGGACACATTCTTCAGTGAAAGTACCCGTTACACAACCGAAAACACGCTTTCTAACTGCCTCGTTACGGATTCGCCGACACCAACCCACACGAGCTATGGTTCTGAGACAACGATTTCCGAACACCTGAAGACGTCTCAGTTCCGCTGCTCGAATAGGCCAAGTCTCACAGCCATACAACAAAACAACCCGTACTGTAGCTTGATACACACGTCCCTTCAGATTCAGGGATAAACCATTCTGACGCCATAGGTGTCTCAAGTCAGCAAACGCGGCCCGAGCCTTGCAGATTCGTGCATTCACCTCATCTGTCACACTACAGACAGAACTAATACAACTTCCGAGAACTTCGAAACTTCTCTACTCCCCTCATCCATTGCAAAAGATGCGACAAAACTCACAAATGACTGTCAGTCGAACGAAAACCTCGACTTCAGTTCGGGCTCCCTGAGAATCCCGGTTGAATCGGTTGGACGCTCGACACAGATACTCGCCCATGTGTGCTTCTTTGACGCTGATGAATTGGAGCTGTTTGTCCAGTCCACGTTTGTTTGGTTTGAAGAAAGCCACCTGTTTGGAAGAAAAGACGCCGAAAGTGGTTATCAGTTAGAATAGTACAAAGTGAATGAATGTTGTTTAATGGGCGGGGGTTGAGAATAGCAGTTTTGGTCTCAGAGGAACCAGGGAGATGGTCGAAACGAAAGGCAGTGGTTAGTTTACCGTACCTGTCGAAATAGAATGCCACTTTCAAGACCTTCATTGGCGAAACTTTGGCAGTCGACGGAACTGGAATGCTCATCGGAACTGTCCGGCGTGAGAGAGCCATCACTAGACTGGTCATAATGCGCGGGAGGTGAAGTCATCCCGTCGGGTGAATGTTCCTTATCCAGTACGGACCAAGGAACAACGCAGGGCTTGTCGATCAGTTGCCATTTTGTTCGCCCAGACGGGCGGTAGTACCAGGCTGCTTGAAGATCATCGGGGTCCCCGTGAACACTGCAAGTGAGGTTGAATCTTGAACCGCGGACTCTTTCCACATGATCGATAGGATCGATTCGTGCCGGGACTAAATCATCAAAATAATGAGAGATGCGTGATTTGTGGACCGGGAACAAAAAGAGGCCCATCAAGCCAATTTTCGAGCATAATTAGTCTAAGAATATCTCCACTATTTTGCTCTTAACACGATTAATTGATTTCGGGTGTGTGATAACACACCAAATCGATGATAACCAGAAGTTATAACCCCCTCGACACCAATGGGAGTGAAATTAGAGCTCAGTGTTTCCTCGCCTTGATGCGGATTCAACAGAATGACTGCGTCATGACAGAATGAAGACTTCTCAACCAACAGCCCCACGTGAACATAAAATCGATAAGCCTCGGAAACAGGTACCAGTAATCAACCGACAGACCGACCACGGAGATAAAAGGAGCAACACATGGGATGCGCGTAAAACGAAAACTACAGGACACGTTCGCGGATGCATTGAACGATTTAGGGATTTTCTTGTAGGGGAGGGCGGATCAACTGAATCACAGAGACTCTTACCATGGACCTCGAGATTTACAGCTGAGCTTCGTTGAGCGGCCGTTGATAGACGGCCAGGTTTAAGGAAGCAGAGAAATTCACGTGGATCCGACTCGTCGACGTTCGACAACAGGAGTGTGCCGTTGGAGTACTGTCGAATGCGGCCGTTGGTGGCTTCGGAAAGCTCAGTCACACCGACGTAGTTGCCAGTTGCTGAGACAAGGTAACAAAAAAGACGATGAATAAATCCGATATCGAAAAAACAAGTCCCAGAGTGAAATGCCTAGAGTTCTATGTGCAGCGCACAGACAAAGCATCTGATCAGTGCTTTCAATAACACCAAACCAGGCGACAGCTTCTGAACGCTGGTTGCAAAACACCAAGGAGGTGGTGACAGAACTCCTGTTTATCACTTATTACTTATGAGTAGTTGCGATTTTAAATATTTTGTGTGAGCGAGCAAGTCGGTTGGGAGGGTCGACAGTGTGGCACTGTTTTCGGAGTTGTTGGGGTAAAAAATGTTACAAATGAACAGTAATCTGTATGGTAGTGTGATGTGGAGATGTTGGGGTATTGAAGACTGAATGTGACACAATCAGCTGGTGTGTTCAACTCGAGTGAAATACCCTTTGGCACCAGAAAAAGGTCAGCTACACGGTCACAAGCGCAGGAAGGACAATCCTAATGGGCGATCAGCCAGATGTAAAACACTCTGCCGGATTGGCGCGACAGACCATCGCAGACTGCTTACCCAATCGTTTCATGCACTGCCATTTAGCATCGAGAAACACAAGTGTCTACCAGGAAATTAGTCAGAACAGCTAACATTGGAATAACGCTCAGTTAAGAAAGAAATGTACTTTTTTGCAGATATTTCCATTCCACAACTGGTTTTAAGTCGGAGGGTTTGGCTGCACAATCGATGGACATCGTTTGTCCCAAAGTCACATCTTGATTGTTCGGTGGTCGGATCGCGAATTCCAATTCGGCTGGAACGGAGAAAAGTGAGAGACGATTAAAAGATATTCATCAGAGATACAAAACAAAAGTGATGTTGGAAACACGCTCCATATTGACATGCGCACACACAGCACGTGATTCACGAGGTTGCTAAAAGCTCGTCGAAAAGTTTTCAGCAACCTTATGAGTAGCATGTTGCGTTTATACATGTATCGCGATAACTCGAATATCGTACCAACTGAAACATGAGGCGGCCTGGTGCACATTTAGCTGCATGAAATCATCATAATTGAGAGGTTCTGTCGGGTTCCAGGTGAGTCTCACGCAAAACCAAATTTGTTTGCACTCGCCTTTCCTGGGGTCAAACAGCATCCAACCTAAGAATAAACAAACAATTATAGAAATCGTTCAGTTGTAGCACCATTCTGGTGTCTAACTGCCATGCCACCGGAAAAATGCACGAGGGTTGGGATATTGCCAGGTTTCTCAAGCCTAGACACGGAAAGTCAAGACGCAGAAGTCGGGTTCCAATCATGGACCTTCCGTTCAGTAAATTCTCGCTCTAATCGCTGAGCCATCTACTTAGGAGATTGACATACCGTACGCGCTTCATATGAACCCCAGATGTAGGTATAGAAGGTCATCCGAGGAATCAGTAGACAAGACGTTAGGCGGAATTCCACACGGATCCCGCTTTACCGTTCGCACTCAGGTGCTGCTACGGCCGAGAAGTCCATACCACGCAAGACTGACCAGAATTTCGGGAAGCTTGTCGGCCCGACATCAAACCGCGATCTGATTGGTCGAAAGTCTGGACCTAACAACCAATCATGACACATAGTGGCCAAATGCCGGTTGCCAATGGCGCATCCAGAACGCGTCAGAATTTCCAGGAAGTTATTGTCGCTTACGCTATATATGAAGCGCTGTACAAGTGTTCCCGACTTCGTTTTGGGCGTTAAAATACCTTGTGCACCCTTGTTGGTTGTCTTTGACGCGAACGCTAGCTTGGGAGGCTCCGACCGGGAACTAAGCTGAGAAAAATACCGTTACTACACAAAAAACACATCAGTAATGTCGACATGCTTGTTTTCTGGACAAACCCGTCTAGTCATGGACTGACTGAATGATGAAAAGGATAACCGCAAAGTTGCAGATATGTGCCGTCATCATCACGAGTGCGTGACGGGCGGTGAGCGTTTTCGGTAACTCAGTCAGCATAGCATCCGTCCGGCAAGCAAGTTCATCGCTGCGATTGTCTTTTCGTTCATTGTTCAAGTTTCAAGAAAGTTCAGGACTTAAATGTGGAGATATGAACTTTGTACGCAAGTATGAGAACCCAGAACCGGAGTTATACAGTACTTTCCGCAAGCAATAAATGACAAAGCCAGGAGAACCGGAAAAACCTAGAAACCTGCATACCTCCGGAGGTGAAAAGGTTAAATTAAGTGAGCTAACAGAGTGAATTTGGAAGTGGATTCGCGCTGGTTCGGTGGTCGAATGTGAATAATTCTCAGGTTTAATTACCTAGCTGGCTCGAACGAGCACAGCACGGACAACAAGTATGAACAAAATACTTAAAAATACTCGTATTTGAAAATTCAAGTACGCTCATTCATTGAGATTTCAAAAATTGCGGGAAAAACAATGAGCACGCGGGGAATTTCATATTGATATTTCACCTAAGGCAAAAAGATTCATATATAAATCTACCCAGGCGATCCCTTCAGTGTAGTGAACGTACACGGAATACCAACATTACAAACGAATGCGAGTCCTATAAAAAACGTAAAATCGCATGTACAACTGAGAAGCACCGCTCAAGGTTCAAATTCTCACTGCTATTAAACAAAATGGTCAAGATCACATTTAACGCTTAGTGTAACTGAACTCTGTAGGACCCGATTTCATTAAAACGACGATTATTGATCGATCTTATGGCAACTCCTGTTGAAACTCGTAGGCCACAGTTAAATTGAAATGAAAATGTCCTATCACTTCTTAGGATTCGAGAGCATGATAGCTAGTTCTCCGTGCCCTGTACTTTGTGCGATGAATGGATTAACTTTCGTGCTTCCGTAGGCTAAAGGGCGAAATCTCCAATAAAAGTTCTCCAATCTCACCACACTACCAACAATCCATAAGTAGTTCAGAGGAAGCGCAAAATTCACTCGGTGAGTGAAATTTTCATCGGAGGAGTCGGTACCCGAGGTCCTAGTCAACACGTGTGACCACGTGATCCAAAGGATAAGCGGTACTTCGTCTTGTCTTACCGAAATAGCAATCCGCCACTCATTATCAAACGGCTAACTGTTCAAAGTGCCAACTGGAATGTCATGTGGTTTTGGCCGAGCATATTGTTTTAAAACAATCAGAAATTATACGGATAGTGTCCAGATAGAGGAAAAAGCGATCATCCTTAGTTCATGGCCACTGCTCTCCGCCCACACACCATTCAACAAGTAGACCAGGTCAGGGTGGATCCCTGACAGCTCACGTGACTATATCGTCGATCTGGTAGCGTTGCTGGTCTTGGAACAACAATGATCTAGGGACGTTAGTTTGTCCCAAGAGAAAAAGTGCTCCTTGTTGACCGATAATCACGCGAATCTGTCCTTGATACTGACATGTTTGCTACGTTCTACCAGCTCGATGCACGATGGTGTTATCATCCAAAAATGCACATTCATCATGCGCGTAACTCACGGATGAAAGTGATTCGGATGGATTGCCTATCCTCACCAACTTCGTTCACAACGACGCACGTCAAATTTCCATGATGTTTCTCCTTCTGTAGCTTGTTCACAGAGACATGCACCCCGGCATTCGGTTCGCTTTGTGCGAATAAAGGGACTTTATCACGAAGACTGTCGGGCAGACGCCATGGGGGACCTTCGGATCGCGATACCAGGTCATCCATGTACTGGAAAGATGAGAAGAAATAGAGTGGAAGGCATAGCATAATGCGTCGGAGATCCAGACGTGAGCTACAGTAGTCTCCCTCGAAAAGCAGTTGCCCCCCATGGATAGAGGAACGGAGAAATTTACACTAGTGTAACTACCAGTAAGTAAGGAATCCAAAGGGGGCGTATATATATCTAAATAGGAACTAACTGACCCCGGGTCATGGAAGTTTACATCTAGAAAACCTCAATCGGGTGGAGATGAAGCTGGACAGTACGACAGGATCATAAGAGGGAACAAAAGCCGACTGTAGATGATGTGAGACATAAAACATTCCACAGCCAAGCCCAAATATCTGTCCAGTCGAGTATTTCAAAGTCTGCACCCATAGTGACTATGGTGGTCGTTTACTCATTTCGCAAGCCAAGAGGATGCTCAAACAAGCATCACTCAACTCTCCCATAGAGGCGTGATGTGTTTATTACTTTTATTTCTGGTCACTGATCACTCATTACGATATGGTCCCGTCGCTAACTTCCAAGATAACAGATACACTCCAAGGCAGTAAGCATTGGTCCGAACACAACCCAGCTCTTTGCAGGATACGAACCAAACGAAGGCATGCTCTGATTGGTCAGAATGCCAGCCAATCCGGATCGAGCATCTTCAACTCGGCGCTTCTCGCCTCACGGAGTTTCTAGCCCGACCTTGTGGAACCTTATGTGATTACCCCGTATCGAATCGTCCAGCTGTAGCACCCTTTCGGTGCCTAGCTGCCATGCCACACGAAGGAGGCACGGGGGCTGGGATACTCCCAGGTTGCCCAAGCCTAGACAGGGGAAATCGAGTGGCAGAGGTCGGGCTCGAACCACGGACCTTCCGGTCAGCGAATTCGCGCTCTAATCATCTCGCCCCCCTGCAAATACAGTAGTAATAATCTTCCTTTGTCTCCATAAAGAGTTGTCTGAAGCTACCGTGCCTTTTGATATACCGTAGTGGGTGGAGCAGTAAGCTAAGGACCGACACAGAGTTGCAAGATCATTCAGGGAGTCAAAACACGACTATGTCGCTCTGTAAGTTTTTTTCTATATGCCTCGTACTCTTACTGGCAGTGAAAATTAATCACACGTGAGTTCGAAGCCTTTCCTGGGAACGAAGGCATGCGCAAGTCATCATCCTCAGCTGTGAAAACCGCCTACTTGTCGAATAGTGCTTGTGGCTGCCACAGTTTCGTCCGCCAATGATTTGGGGAGGTGGAGTGGATAGCTAAGTATTGAAGGTGGCAGCTGATATAATTGGTGCGTAAATAGAGCGGTGTCAGCGGACTTCTCATTGGAGAGCTTGGGAGGGGAGCTTGGTGTCGAAGGCAACAGATTAGATGCATGGGCACGACTGGGCCATTCCTCTAACAATGGATGTGTCCCATGTCGGGGCCCCGTATCCCGGTAGACGACAATGACCGGCGCAACTGAGTTTGCTGTAGACGACTTTCGGACGTCGATTTTAGGCGATTCTTAGACCTCCCCTGCTCTGCGAAAAGAGCCCTTCGAGGAAGTAGGTACACGGCAAACGGATCACGTGGCTTGGCCAGCGCGACCTACACAGTCTGATCAGTTCATCTACCGTGAGTGAGTTATTTTTTCCGAATACCGATCGGTCATTGCTCCGAAGACATCTATAGTCAAACGCTGGAAGTTTCTTGACGTCCTCGGAGCGTAGCGGTCAGGTTTCCTACTCGTATAGGAATATGGATAACACGGCAGCACGGTAAACTCGAGTCTTGACGGATAAGTTGATGTCGCAGATGACGCAGATTCAAAAAGCTATTTCATAAAAGCTATTCTGGCCATTCCGATCCGGATGGAAATATCACCTTTCGCGACAGTCAGGTAGACAAATTTGTCTACTACCTCATCTGCAAACAAACGGTTAGGGTTCGAGTCCACACAGTTATCCAGCAGCACATTGGACTTTGCAGGTGTGAGGCGCATGCCAAACCGTGAAGCGGAACTATTTGGATTAGTAAGTATTGTTTGCATTACCACGGGGTTATATCCAAGAAGAGCCATGGCGTCTGCGTACTCAACATCTGTGTGTGAATGGAGTTCCACGTCACCTACATGTGGCAGTTCATACAACACCGACTGTCCAATGGGTCCAAAAGTGTTTGAATTAGTCTCAAAAAAGGGTATCACGATTCGCCTTCACAACCATCTGGAATACATTCAAATTCTGTTATTCCATTCTGTACAGCCGTTTTCACTCATTCCGGGAGTTGAATACATTCAGTCGTGGTGGTTCCCCTAGGATCTCTAACTCAAAGGTATCTTGATCAGAAAACCGTCATTCCATGACCCTTGTGTGGTGACACAACTCACCGATCGCATCAACACAGAATAAATAATCGATGAAGATCCCAAACGAGTGAACAGCGAAATGAAAAAACGAAGGGATAATTTCAAGTAAACTAAGACAGGCCATACCGAGACGACAAATTCATTGTATCTGTCCTGCTTCGATGCTGGCAAGGGGATAAGGGCGTTTGTACCCTCATGTTGGAATTCCCACCAAGCGTACCACGGTTTGTCAGCGCGGTTCTGTAAAGTGCAACTGTAGGACAGCGTGTCGTGCGTGTATTTTACTTGTCTTGTCTGTGGAAGTTCAAACAGCCGCGGTGCATCTGGTGGGGATGAAGAAAGGGAGGTTCAACAGAGAACAAAAAAGAATTTCGTTAAAAGTCGGAAATGTAGGTGAGCTAAATCGAATGAGAACCACAGGGAAAAGTGGTTGGCATAATAGTCCTGATAAAAAAGGTATCTAATTTTCATAAAAGAGACTACTCACAAGGTTGCTGAACGCTCTTCGACAGCCCAAGACCAGTTTTACCCTTCTTGCTGCTCATCAGGTAGGCGCAGTCTCCGAGTTTCCGTCAACCTTCTGTTCTACTTGAACCAAAATTGCACTGTCTTCGAGAAATACACTCATTTGCAAATCAATTTGATTTTCACGAGGGACTCAACTGAATCTCTCGTTGATGATATTTTACAACTGAATGTGCTGCACACAGGCCGCCTCATGATTCGGTTGGCACGATACACGAGATATCGCAGTATATTTTCATGAAGGAAACTACTCACAAGGTTGCTGAAAACTCTTGGACACTCCACGACCGGTTTCGCCCTTCTTGGAGCACATCAGGTAGGCGCAGTCCCCGAGTTTCCGTCAACCATATGTTCTACTTGAACCCTCAAGAATCCCATGAGGGGCAAGCAGAACTAGACGATGGCTAAAACTTGTTAATTCAGTGCGGTGGCGCTGGGATGGATATTACGTTTAAATCGTTCCCCAGAGAACTCAGTGAACCACAAATCAAACAGATATCTGATCAGGATAGCGAAAAACTCACGCGAGACTTTCAATTTCACCGTGCTATTCGCCGAATGGTCCCCCAAGATCGCGGTACATCGATATTCCGCCTCGTCCTCTTCTTGACTGATTTCCGTGATTCGCAGCACACGACCGTCTTCGAGCAGATGATGTCTGTGATCCACAGGGATACGCTGAATCTCTCGACCGTTCTTGATGCGATGCCACTGAAGCTAATTGAAGCGAAAAGGCAGTCAGTCGTGAATCACTGAAGAGGATATCGACATGGATTTGTAAAGAGGCTGAAGATGGGAAGTCAAGTCTTTCTGGCGAGCGAGCCTGCAAGCATAACATTTTCCGCCCAATTACGGCCATCATCAAACCGCAAGATTGAACCGTGCAGTGTTACTCAAATTACCGGATCTGGATTAGAATGGTGCATCATTCCGTGAGAGGAAAAATCGATTCCGTTGTATATTAGCCGCAAACTCACCAGGGGAGGGCATCGGAAACCCGAGGGCGGAAACCTACTCAGTCTTTCTACTTGAAAGCCTGTAAACTGACCTTGGGCTATGTCAGTCCTGAAGCCACGTGACTAGTTTGGAGAAGTGTTTCGCGCTTCGTCCTGAGTGATACTCATCAGATGGATGTTCAAAACACACGCCACCAAGTGGCCACCGATCGTTGGGGACGAATATCTGTTTCATGACCACTAATCAGAATGTTAACAGCAAACCGTGCAAACTTGATTGGTTCAGATTGACAGCCAATAGCTGCCTGACAAAAGCGTCCTAGAAGGGGACATTTTAAAGGCACCAATTGGCGGGCAGTTTAAACGATACACAGTGGAACGTTGCTATCAGCAATTTATATATAACCGAACAGTCTAAGCCGCAGATCTCATTGAAGTTCGGTATATGCCCAATTAGGGCGAGTAAATTGTCTCCACTTTGTCTTAGTTAGAGGTAGTTCGGTGCAAGTTACCTGGAGGTTACAAAAAAAGACTTACTGCCGGTATTCCACTTCCAATAAAATAACACTTCAGCGTATGTGCTCGACCAGCGATGGCCACCTTCAACGCGTCCATCGGGCGTAGACGAAGTGGGGTTTCCAAGAGCACGTAGGTACGACAGTCCGCTTCTCCATGTGGATTAGTAGCCACAGCTCGATACTCACCGCCAAAGACCCACAGTTCTTCAAGATTCGGTGCCTTGAGGAAACAGTGGGACACAGAGGTAGCAGTTTATTCACCAGTCACGGAAACGACAAGAATCATCAAAGTGGAGACCGAATAGCGTACCAAAAGAACGATGTTCGGAAGGAGCAAGTAACTCTCTCTTTATGGAGAACATGTACAGTCTCTGTGGAACTCATGATTGGCCATCGCGTCCCTATAACACATGGCCATCCCTACTAGACAGTTACTCACCTCAAGAGACCAGCTTTGAGCGATTTCTTGGAGTACACTTTCCGGAAAAGGGCAGCTGTCTTGAGGGCGAAACAGTATAAACAGACCTTTCATCAAGTTGAGACTCTAAACAGTAAGCCTAAAACTGCGTAAAAGACTGGCTATAATTGCGATGTCAGTTGTTAGAAATGTACTGAGCTGAAGACGTCGCTACGAAACGGCACAGCCGTAACTATGAGTTTCTTGCGGTACTCTGTTCAGACGAACAATCCACCACGGTGTAAACCCCTTTCTTCTCCTTTTATCCCTTGCTACGTACCATGAGCACCTCATCGGTCCCAGATGTCCACAGTTTGGGGACTTGGCTTCATGTCTCGGTTCGGCATCGACTAAATCTTTCTTCTGACGTACAACCTTTCAACCCGAAGGGTTTGGTGAAAACCTACTCCTACTGTTGTGTCTCTGGCACGGTTACTATGCTACGCAACCCGTCTTAATCCCGTATTGATAGTTCATTGGTGATCACCGCCCGATCCGGTAGCATTAGCGTCATCTTGTCAATTGACCGATCACCCTTTACACCGTTTGACCCGAAAAAATTGAGGTGCGTGCACTTTTATTGCTTCTCGATAGAACGCAACAATGACTATGCTGAAACAATTGGGCTCGAATTGGTTTTTTACACATAACTCAGTTGTAACACTATTTCGGCGCCTAGCTACCTCGAGGACTGAGATATTGCCAGGTTGTCCAATCCCAGAAGGGAGCACTCGAGAAGTAGGGAGGGGGTTCGAACCACGGACTTTCCAATCAGTAAATTTCCGCCTAAACTACTGATATACGTCGAGCTCAATACTGGCCTACTTAAACAAGTTCGAGTACTTGTCGTTGCACCCTAGCACTCACCAGAGTACTAATAACCGTGTGAGCTGCAGACTGCGGATGAACGCTTCCCAGGTCCGTCTCTACTGTGGCGATCCCCAATTCGGAGCTGGTCCCCATTCCAAAAAAACAGAATTCAAGTGGCATCCTTACCTCAGAGGACTAACATACTTTGAAATAAGGCAGAACCGGGAGATCGCTGCCGAAATCTGTTAGTTACAATTGGGATGATTGAAGAAAGAAAAGAAAGCCCCCCTCCCCCAAACTGTCTTATTTAGGTTCCTCCACTGTGGTCCAACAAAACTGAGCTTTTCAAAGACTGTGTCGTCTCGACTAACAACTGAAAACTGATTGACAAAGGCAAAGGGAATTTGCGTAATGCAGACAAATCCTACCTTCCGTATATCGATTCTCAATCGAGTGATGAGAGTGTAGGGAGTGGATGTGTCCTCGGCCAGTTCAGGAGCAATAACACCAGCTTGTTCCAGAGGAATCGGTAGATCGTCCCGAAACCAATCGATTTTGGGTGTTGGATTGGCGGCAAACCGACATTCCAGTGTCACGTTGGTAGTGGCCACCGAATGGATAGAAAGAAGTACCTGTGCTTTGATCGAAGTCGGTTCAACCGCCGGATGTTGCCACTTTAACGAGGGACGCATTTTGCCCATCAAGAGGAGGGCAGTTGCCTGTGCGTTGTCGGTCAAGTCACGTAATACTTCACCCGCAGTTGGTAGGGACACGGGTGGATGTGTCAGGTCCCGATCTGGACTCTCACTGGAGCCTGTCGCTGGAGCATCACTGTGGAACGATCCCGTCAGTGTTGGCAACATATTCGAAGCAAGCGATCCCACAGTTTGTCCATTTTCCACGACACACTGATAAACGCCAACATCCTCCAGAGTGAACGCCTCAATTATCAAACGCTGCGAGAGAGAATCGAGGGATTTCGGCGTTGCAACATATTCTGTTGCCGAAGCGGTTGCTGCCGCTGGGCCGGAGACAGTTCGCACATGATGTCGTCGAGGTGCAGGACGACCGTTGTGGAGCCAGTAGACCAAATGACGAGGATTACCACTCACAATGCAGTCCAGTTCAACATGGCTGCCCCAGTCTACAGTACGCTGACTCGGGGTGATTTTCACACCAAGAGGGGCTGTACACACACACACACACAAAAAAAAAAAGAAAAACAGAATGAGACCATTTGGAAAGTGTGGCTAATGGTAGCTGCCCAGACTAACCATGAGAAACTTTGCCAGCACAAAAACAAAGTCAATCTTAAGTACACGTTTTAAAGTGCAAATCCTACTCAATACATTGGTTTCCCTGAAGACGGGGACTCTGAAGTGCATGTGTAGTGCAAGAACCGACTGAACAGCAGCTCTGGAAAAAAGTCTACAAGAGACGGACGACACAGGCGGTGTGATGACGGAATTCCAAGTAGTGGTTCCACAGTGTAACGTTTCGAATTACAGGTACCATCATATCTGACTGGCCTAGGTGCATGAACAATCAATCACCCATTAGGTGCACCTTTGTTTACAAGAGTTTTTTTATTCGTGCATGCCTCGCAAGGCGTCAATTATTTTTACTTTTCTCGGTCCGCAAGCATTATCCGGGTTACCGTACCAGGATAGGAGTGTGCGTTATACCGTCACCTGCTATAATGGTGGACTTTCCAAAGCGCTTAGCTGCTGTGTTCCTTGTTATAATGCTGTCATGAGCGTAGCTGACAGCCACGTTGCTTGACTGCCACACAAATACTACCGAAAAATGAAGATACATGGGCGGTAAACCGGTATCGAACGCCGTCGAACACCGATTCGCAACCTCAGCTAGTCTTAACGGGAGACTCAGTTGAATCTCCTCTGTACACCAGTACTATTCAACTGAATGTGCTACACAAAGGGTGAAATCTGGAGTGGGCCTTTCAGGAGTCTTCATTGACCGAACAAGTAGTGTCGTCTATCCTATGGAAATAAGCATTCTTGCACATCGAGAAATACACTCATCTGCAAATCGATTTGGTTTTAACGACTCAGCTGAATCTCTCGTTTATGATATTCTACAACTGAATGTGCCACACACAGGCCGCCTGATGTTTCAGTTGGCACGATATTCGAGATATCGCAGTATATGTTCATAAAGGAAACTACTCACAAGGTTGCTGAAAACTCTTCGACAGCCCACGACTCATCAGGTAGGCGCAGTCCCCAAGTTTCCGTCAACCTTATGTTCTACTTGAATAGTTGTAGAATTTCATAAACGAGAGATTTAGTTGAGCCTCACATGAAAAGCAAACTGATTTGCAAACGAGTGTATTTCTCGAAAGTGAGGATACTCTCAAGTGTTCTCAAGTGTGCCTGCGAACTACTGACCTTGGAATAGTTCCATCGGTCTCATGTTGCCTCAAGAAATGGAAGGTGTCTTTTCATATTTCACTCAACCGACTCTGCATAATGACGATCTCCTTCAGCCGAGATTGTCCTGCAACAGGCCGCCTGATGTTACAGCTGGCTTGATATTCGAGGTATCAAAGTAAATTACAAAGAGCTCTTTGACAGCCCGCCATCAGTTCCACCCATCTTCAAACCCGTTAGAGGTAGACGCAGTCCAGATGAACATAAGGTTGATGGAAACTTGGGGACTGCGCCTATTTGATGAGCCCCAAGAAGGGCGAAACCGGTCGTGGGCTGTCGAAGAGCCTTCAGCAACCTTGTGAGTAGTTTCGTTCTTGCACATCTTGTCCGAATGGGGGAGCACCACCGTGATTTACCCAGCATCCCTTGCGAAGTCCACCAAACATAAGCCTGCGGACAGCAACTGAGGAACCATAACTAGATAGTTGACAGTTGATAAGTGACAATACGTGCGCCAGTGAGACTGGTTACCTGCAACGAGGTTCTGAGTCAAGTGCGAGGAAGCTCACGTTCTAAGATTAGAGGATTCCGTAGCAGTCTACCTGGCTGAAGCCATTTTTATTTCACGGTATCATGTCATGGCATGTTCCTCCTGGAACCTTTCATCAAGGGTTCGCAAAAGTGCATGTCTCAATGACCGAGGACTGCATCAACACGATTTTCCGTTAAGGTCTGTCTTATCGTGACAGTCACAATTAGTCACAGCGAGTTTTTGCTACCAGTCGACGGAATAAGCGGCGGTCTAGAGGTCCAAACAGAGACTTTTCCTTTTGGTAATCCACTTTGGCGACAACTGGACACCAATGGGCAAGTTAGTCCACGAGCCACCTTACCTGTGACGTCCTTCCTCCTAGGCGAAATGCCGTACCTCACTGAATCCATCAACCTGGTGTTAAAGCAATGGGGATCGAGAAATCGAGCGTGATTCTACCAAGCTCATGTAGTGAACGGTATTAGGGCATTATTTGTGAAGTATTCGGCCCACCACCTATGAACAGCAGAGCAGGGTGAACTCCATTATTGAAACTCCAAAGCCATGACTACTGACAAGACATGAGTAGGGTGCTGAGGAAAGAAAAGCCCGCCAGGTTGGGTATGCTTGAAGTCGAAGCCACCACTGGAAGAACCAGTTACAAATAAGCCACAAGCTGTTGCAAAATTTCAACATCAATAGCTAACGAATTACCAAAGCTCCGTTGACCGATGATGTTTCAGGGCGCCGATACGAATCCCGTGCATACAGGTGAACGATTAACGAGATGTTAGCTGAGCATTGAGGGTCTCAGCAGAGACGTGAACACGCAATTGGTTGACGGGAGTCCCAGAGGAAGGAGATGACAGTTGGCAGCATGACTGAGGCTGTTCATAATGCCTTTTACGGCTCACCACTGACGCGCGATTTGAAATTCAATTCAGTCTGTGCTGGAGTGCAGACAATCGAAGCTAGTTTAGTTTGTGGACACTTTCACCTGAATTATTCAGCCCTAAAGCTTCACCAGTATCACTCCAGTTCTCTCCTCTGATTACGGCCATGAGTCTGAGAGACCCATGGTCCACCACCGACTTTCTGATCCCAATGTTTCCTTATACTCTGAGCTACTTATGAGTAGGGTAAAATTAAAAACAAAACTTTGCCGGTGAATGGAGGGTTCCATGGAAGTTGTTGTAATTCATGTGAAACTCTTCAACCATGACGTTCTCAGTGAGATTTCGTCGAGCAAATGTCTTAATCATACTTCAGTTCAAACCAAGGTTTATACGATTGACTTTGCATTTCAAACGCCACACGCGGGATGAGGTTTTTTCACATAACTTGTCACACAAAACGCCGAGATATTTGGGTGCTGTCATACAGAAGCTGATGGGGGAACATTGGACTGAGGGAGGAGCACAAATTACCTCCATCCAAACTGCAAACCAGGCCAATAAGTGCTGACCAGTAAGTCACTGTCACATAAAGGTAGTGAGTTGTGTGAAAAGCGACTGCTGACACTGAGTGAACACGGTGGCAGAATGAGCAAGAAAGATGTGCCTACCTGCTGAGAACAAATCGTTTGGAATGATTTACTGTGGTAGCTGTGATACAAGACTCGTACCCAGGACGTAGATTAGAACGAGAAATATATTCGGACTATGAACAGTCCTCACCTTGTGGGGGCTTCTCATAGCCACATCACAGCGTGAAATAACAAAGGCATAGAGTGTATTGAGGGTAAATGAGGTACCTACCTCTGACTTGGACTGTATACTTGACTTGTGGACGTGCTGAGTACGGGACTTCAACCATAAACTGTCCGGAATCGGCCACAGACAAATTGATCAGCCTCAAGTTCCCGTAAGCGCCGTTCACCAGTTCGTATTCCGTACCACCCGGTAGGAACCGAGGCACTTTCCGTCCACCATACGAGTGCTGGCTACTGTTCGTTGGGGAGATTCCCTTTCCAGATCCATCGGGCAACGGTAGCGGCGTGTCTGAGCTCAACAGATAACGAACTCCTGTCAGTGTATTCACGTAAAACCAGTTGGCGCCGACAGGGGCTTTGCCTTCCACAGCCCAAGGAAGTTCCACAGTTGAACCCTAAAGATGTAACCGTATTAGTTGGTTCCGGCTCATGCGAAAGATAGATTTGCAACGTGGAAAAAAAAGAGAAGATCCAAAAACTCACCCGAAGAACATCCACGTCACTACTGACGCTCCGTTGTTCTGTGTAGAATAACCCCATCCGGAGACGCCGTAAGCGGCCTCGCTCAGGCCTCTCGACCTTCACAGACTCGTCTACGATCGATTGCAGAACACACCGGACTTCCAGACCTTCCAGTTCCGCCTCAGTAACCGAACGAATGTGAAGTTCTGGGTGCTTGGTAACGTTGATCATGCTAAATCGGTCAACTGAACGTGGGCACAAGGGTATGAAAAGAAGCAAAAATGAGGCCATGACATTCAATATGAAATATTAGCACAGGGAATGGCTGAGACATCCCCTTGATGAAGTTGCAAGCATCGTTCGACTTACATGAGTGATCGACAGTGTGAATCAGCGTGCCGTTCATGTAAATTTCCCAGTAATGAACTTTCAAAAATCGATTAAAGATGGACTGTTCCGGATGGCAAGATATGACCGCCTTTTGTCCTGGATCAATGTGAAATGTGTTGTAGATGATTCGAAGGTTTTCGTCGGGCAGTGGAACTACACAGGAAGAGAGAGAGAGAGAGAGAATCGACCAAGGTTAATTTGGCGTAGTCAGGAATGACAACGTAAGAGTACAGAGTGGTTAGATAGCGAATTTACTGACCAGAAGGTCCGTGATTCGAACACGACCTCCGCACCTCGACTTCCCCTGTCCAGGATTGGACAACCTGGCAGTATTCCAGCCCTCCTACTTCCTACAGGTGGCACTCGGGCTACAGGAGAACGGTTTTAGAGTTCAGGAAAAACACAGGATAGTGAAACGAGAGACGAAATCGCATGATCAATAGTTGATCAGCCGGTTCGCGAGAATAATAATGGGTCCGCCCGGGGGGTGTCAGAGCGTTCAAGATGCTGTGGTCAACGTCTCTAAAGCAGCATTTTCAGGCACATCAAAGTGAACTGCTGACACGGTAAGGGACAGAAGTTACGCCAGAAAGCAAGGACTATGAAGACGTCCCGAGTGGTGAAGAGCCTGAGCGACGTCAGAGGGGTGTAGTGCATGATGAAAGCCGAGTAGGTGGAGGGTACTCCCACGAAAGTGGATGGACTGATTTTACTGACTACCCAGAAAATCAAGCCTCTGTTGGTGGATAAGCGAGGACTCTGAAATCACCGCATCTTATCACGAGAGTCAGTCAGTGAAAAAAGTATGGTGGCCCCCTATTGCCGGAAACCATTGTGGAAGGCGAAAAGTAGTTCCTCTGAATGGCTATGAAAGGCGATTCACTGCGATACATTGTCCGTCCAAGTTTCTGATGTGCCACAAGCGGTTCCGGAATGGGAACCTGGCTATTCCCGTACAGTTTCATGCACTCTGAAAACCTGTGTGTTTCTCGGGAGGCGGAGAAAAAGCACAGAGAAACAAGTAACAGCTGCTCACAGAGAGATCATCGCGCACACCAGAGCCCGAAAGGATGAGGAATAAGGCGCAATACACTACTCATAAGGTTGCCGAAAACGCTCCGACAGCCCACGACCGGTCCCGCTCTTTTTGGGGCTCATCAGGTAGGCGCAGTCCGCGAGTTTCCGTCAATCTTATGTTCTACTTGAACCCAAATTGGACAGATTTTGACAAATACACTCATTTGCATATCAGTTTGGCTTTGAAAGGACGCTCACCTGGAACCCAGCTGCAATGAGAGCTGAATTCAATCATTTTCCCAGCATAGCTTGAACTGGAGTTAGTGGATGGGATGGAAACACACTCGTCCCGTATATTTCGGGTTTCTCGTTCACCTGGCAATTCCACCAACCATGGCAACCTGTCCAAACTAGCTAGCATAAAAATGAGACTTAATCACACACACACACCTGACCTCTACGCGTACCTCTGGCGAACCAAACCATTTCAAGAGCTCATCTGGCCAACACATCGCACAAAGATCACGTGCCACACTTGTTGGCCAAAAAGGCGGTCGACTGACTGACTGATCGAGATGGGAGAGATGCGAGAGAGTGGTCATGGCGATACCGATCGATAATTGGCTAGCTAACAAAACGGACAGAGTGAGAGGGTGCGACCAGCGAGGACGATGAGAGGGAAGGATAGAGATAAACGGAAACACTTTTCGTGAGAGGCCAGTCAGAGCGGATGGTTAGTTTAATTACAGGGCGATGCGAATAGGAAAGCAACAACAGATGTTTTTACTGCAAGTTGGAGGAGATCGATAACCGAAGCGTAGCTATTACGGGACAAAAGTATTCGAACATGGAATATGCAAAGTCGGAGAGATTGATAGGAAACTCGCCTTGATGTGCGATCATTTTGCGAGATCGGGCTCGACCCAAATAATTTTCAGCTTGACAAAATAAAACCCATCGCATTGCAGCCACACCTGCTGCGGTGAAGTTGAGCCAGCCATCACCGACGACGATCGATTTGGTGGATACGACTTGGTCCAATAGCTCGTTGACCTGGTCACGCTCGAACGATGAATAGTAGCTTGACTCCAATCCACCGGGCACGGGATGTCCCGCGACCGATGAGCTTGCTCTGTGAACCAAAAAGAATCGGAACCAGGAATGACGAAGAACGAACCGAGATCACATTTCCAAACCAGTAAGTGTTGGCTAGTTAACGATAAATTATTAGTAACCAGTTAAAAATTAACCAAACTCCAACGGCCACCGTAATAAAATCGGGGCGAGATGGTTCAGTGGTTAGAGCGCGAATTTACTGACCGGAAAGTCCGTGGTTCGAACCCGACCACTGCATCTCGACTTCTCGTGTCTAGACTTGGGCAACCTGGCAGTATCCCCAGCCCTCGTGTTTCTCTCGGGTAGCATGGCAGCTAAGCACTGAAAGGGTGCTACAGTTGAACGATTTCATTGCCACGGGGCTTTCGACAGAGAGACTGAAACCTTATACAGAAATTTCCCTCCGATGGTGAGAATACTGGAAGCAACCGACCAGAATTGGTCTCTCCTGAAGGGAGCAGCCACCGGGATTCGAATGAAACTGATCGGCTGAACGTGGACGATTCAACAGGCCCCTTCAGGTCAAATGCTATGCGACGTGAGTCCATGACCTTATGACTAAGAATGAGTGGACCCAATATTCGAATACATTCACGTGGTTGAGAAGGCCACCCATTAAAGTTTGAAACACCTATGTTTCCAGAGATCACCCATGACAAAGGACGATAAAAAATTGTAGATGTACGGTGATCCACCAAAGAAAAAGCCTCGCCGAGGCGTGAGTACAATCGGTTCACCCTAGGTCTTAGGGTGACCTGGAATTGCCTATGACGGTGCTGGAAGAAAAGTGCCACCAATACTACTAATAACAATAAACAGTAATGATAATAATTGTTCAGTTGTAGCACCCTCTCGATGACCAGCTGTCACGCCACTCATGGGGAGGGCCAGGGGTGAGATACTGCCAGGTTATCCGGGCCTAGACAGAGGCAATCGAGGCTCGAACCAGAAACCTCCCGGTTAGTACGCTCGCACCGTAACCTCGAGGTCAGGGAGTAACTTGCGCTTTGAAATTAAAGTGAAAAATCCCAAACGCTGAATCCGACTGATTAATGACCGTTGATTTGCTCAAGATTAGCAACCCAATGACTTGAACTGAACCGGATGGCAATCCGACAATCTTCTCGATAAAGTCCGACCAGCTGTTTGTTTGGTCAGATGACCTGGTGGCTTCATCAAACATGCGAGCTTTCCTGGAGTCCGGAAAGCATTTTTTTCTCCGGTATTCTACGTACCCTAAACGAGGGCGCTTCATCTGACCTTGAACTCCATGGAGTAGGTACACCCGTCTATACCTAAGTGCGGGAAAAAGTGGATTGACAGAACCGATAGGTGTCTCCCCACTAGGACGATGAGGCAAGCATCTTCCGGATCATCTTTTCAAAATATCGGATCCAGTTGCGGGCAGAAAAAAACACAGTCCTTTTGCCAAAGGCCACCAAGCGAATCCCACCCATTCGCCATCGAAATTTATGTGTCATGAGGTTGGTCGAGGCTGCCGCTCCGATTTGATCGTCAGACTGCCCTTAGTGACGCAATAAGTCACGTTCCCGTCTGGCCAGCTGACCTATCCGATCCGTAATCATGTGATAAACTTTGTTTCGAAAGCTTCTACAAGACCTGCTTTTCCTGGCTTTTGACCTTGGTACTGAAGCCGTAATCCGAACTGCCGGTCTCCGCGTGCTCATCGGATCATCCATACTTCTGAGGTCATAGTATCGTCAAAAATTAATAAAGCCAGAAAACTTTCTATTTCCTGGAGGTGAGGTCTCGTGCCCTCACAATCAATCACACTGGTAACCGTGGAGTCAATTGGTTTGTCGCCGAACGCCAAACATAGTTGAATTTCTTTTTTATTACAGGTAAATCGTATCGAAACACCGAAAACCCGAAACGCCCGCTTTTTCACACGTTATCAAGCACGTTCCTGTAGAAAAATACATTATTCTGACGATCTCAGTGTAAAAGAACATCAAAATGTCCTCTTGTTCGGTGACGAGGCGATTACATTCTATCGGGCAATCAACAGCCATTGTTTTGTCGTGGTCAACTGATTTTAGTAACACGAAAAACGGTTGCAGGAAACGAGCCCAAATCAAACTAACCAATCGGATCCCTGATACCTATCTATGCGAGAATCCCATTTCAAACGGGATCAAATAGAGAATGATAAGTTTTACAATGTATACTGTGAATGTAACGGTACATATAGGCTATATATCATATAGCATAAGTTTTACGCAGCTGTTGTATGAAACTAAGGATTTATTCGACTAGTTCCGACAGGAACTTCAACACCAGAAGGGACCATCTGACCAGTTCCAGGTTGATTCCAATCGAGGGAGACCCCTAATTCGCTACGATATTTGAAATATCGCGATACATGTATATTTGTAATGTACTACTCATAAGGTTGCTGAAAATCCATCGACAGCCCACGACCGGTTTCGCCCT